GTAATTATCTTTTATGTATATTTTACATTGACGAGTCAATGTGGCACAACCTCCTGTTGTAAAATTTTATGTCTTGTAGGGATTTTGTTTGCAAATGGAGAATCATGGAAAGAGCTGAGATATTTTGCCCTCACCACCCTCAAAGACTTTGAGTTCGGCAAAAGACTTTCTCATAAAATCTTGGCAGAGTGTAGCTATCTCATTCAAGTGTTCGAAGAGCATAAAGGTATGGAGATAGCATGTATACGCAGTGTTAAAACAAAGACCAATTTAATTTTGCTGAGGTTTGTTTTAATGCTATTAGAATTAATTATTAATGTCTTAATCTTGTCCACATGTTGGGTTACAGGAGAACCATTTGATACAGCACTTCCAATAAATGATGCAACAGCCAATATTATCTTCTCTGTTGTGTACGGATGTAGATTTGATTACAATGAACCGATATTCACAAAAATGGTGAAGCGAGCCAATCATGCCACATGTGTCACAGGTTCTGCATCAGTCCAGGTTTGCTTTTTCACCCCCCCTTTTTTTTTTAGTCTCTTTAAAAAAAAAAAGAATGACATAAAATGTTAACAGTGACTATTGTTACCTGTGTGGCATAAACTGAATGGTAAACATCTGATTTTATGTTGAAGCAGACTCTGTCTTTATATCAGTTTTTTACTGTTTTACTGTTGTCCATTGAGCCAAACAAAAATATTCACATTTCATGATGGGAAGGCAAAATCTAAAATAGTGATTGAAAGCATAAAGTGGTCACAAAGATATGGAAAATACCAAATGTTTACGTAAAACAATGCATGACGATGGTGCTTCTGTAAAAATGAAAGCATTACTTGAATCTTTACTTTGTTACTGTTTAATTTTACAGCTTCATAACATGTTTCCCCGGCTGTTCAGATGGATTAAAAACCATCAGGTGGTGTTAAAAAATGTTGAGACGACCATCAGAGATGTAAAGTATTTAATTACGTACCTGAAAGAGACACTGGACCCTGACATGTGCCAAGGGTTTGTGGACTGTTTTTTGATTTGGAAGCAGAAAGAGGAAGTAAGACGGCATGTTTTGTCTTTTCTAACATTTTAAAAAGTGGCTCAGTGTTCAAAACAGTGTTTCAGTTTTGTTATTATACCTTTTCTTTTTTTAAGGAATTTGGTATTGACGACTCTCACTACAGTGAGGAGAACTTGATATTCACAGTGATTGACCTGTTTGTTGCTGGTACTGACACCACAGCAGCCACACTGAGATGGGGTTTGCTGTTAATGGCTAAATATCCACACATACAGGGTAAGGAGGCAGAACTCTCCTCCAGAAATTTTATTTCTGTTTTCATAAAGCCCCTCAGCCATTAGAAAACTGAATATTTTCTAAATAGATGTCGACAAAGGCAAAAAAATACCTTTCATCAAGGTATTTCATGCATGCAGGAGTTTTGGTTTAGCCACAGCTCTTTGTCTTTGTCACGGATTGCCGGGGCAAGCCGTGTGGAATTGTAGAAAAGGACCAAAAAGGCGGCAGCTCTGGTGCAGGTGAGTGTTTATTTACAGAGGTGGGTAAGTACAAACAGTGGTGGCGACAAAACATGAAATTGGAAACCTAAACTGGGTAAACTAATAAGACAAACCAGAAACGAGGATGCAGGGAGGTCCGGGGAAATACATACGGGGAGACGCAGGGAGACCGAGGGGAAACAACACAGACGAACCAGCAACTACCATGACAGAAGACACAACTTAAATACACTCAGAGAACACAGGGAGATTACACACAGGTGGGGAACACAGCTGGGAGTGATTACGTGACGAGAGTAGGGAGACAAACTGAAACCACTCACATAAGACGCAGACCTTCACAATAAAACAGGAAACGCATACACGCAATGACACAACACACCAACTTAACACAGACTGGGGGACACAGAACATAGGAACATGAACCATGAAACAGGAGAGTACAAACACCCAAGGTAACCAAAACCACAGAATACTAATACACTAAACATAAACACGGAGTCGCAGACTCCGGACCATGACAGTCTTATGGTTTCCATACTACACAGACTTAATGGCAGGATAGTGTTGGTTAAAGTTTAATGTTCAGCTCAGGTAAGTACAACAAGGAACTCAACAACAGGACCAAACACACCACTCAAAAACTATGGATAATTTTCTAGAACTTCATTTCCTTTCCAGTAGGTGGAGGGTTAGGGTTTCCTAAAGCTAAAACTTAAGCTTCCAACAGTGTGAGAGTGGAACAGGCAGGTGTCCTTAAGAATGAGGTTGGTTGCTAGCCTTTTAGCTTACTTACCTGGAAAACCTAAGTGGCCTGAGCACTGAGAAGTCAACAATCTGGCAATGAGAGAAAAAGGAGCTGGGGTTAGCAGTAAATATCCACTGATTTCCGTTCCTCTGGCAGTATTTCAGTTTCTTCAGTCTTTGTTCTATGCATTTACCTTATAGTATAAACTCTTCAGTTAAGAGGTTGTAAAAAGATAATACATTTCTGATATGAAATCTTTTGTTAAACTTTCAGTAAATGTTTATTGGAGCCTGCTTTGACAAACATACAGCTCTTGAGTCTTTTTCAGCCTTTACAGATCCTGATTTCAAATTTAAATTCTTCTTAGTGGGGGGAAAAAAAACACCCGGTTTTTCTATATTGGCACTATCATAATGTGTTGGGCCGCACTCAAACGCAGAACTTGTGCAAGTTAAGTGATTTCATTTACAGTGACGGTGAATTGTGATATTTACAAAGTGTTTTAGCCATTCACAGTTCAAGAGTCTCTTATTTACAAAGTCCAACAAGGGAGGTGATTCCAAACTTCCAGAGCTGAAACAAATTCCTCCTCTTCAGCCACACAAAACTCTCTCCCGTACACTTCACTGGGACGTCCTTAACAGAGGAAATATGAGTTAGAAATCTTTGTGAAGAGAAAATGAGAGTTTTTTTTACAGAGACAATGAGGAGATTGCTACTGCGGTTAGACCGCACTCAGGTGAAAATTGAAAGTCAGGTCCTAGCTTGGATAGTTGTCAGCAGATTGCAAAGTGCCTCACAGATGCTTGATTTCTTCAGGCGTGTTCAGGAGTGGGTGGAGGTAAAGAAACAGGTAAAGCACATACAGTGGCTTGCAAAAGTTTTCGGACCCCTTGAACTTTCCCACATTTTGTCACATTACAGCCACAAACATGAATCAATTTTAGTGGAATTCCACATGAAAGACCAACACAAAGTGGTGTACACGTGAGAAGTGGAACGAAAATCACACATGTAATCTAATGTCAGTACAAATACAGCTGCTCTGTGACGGCCTCAGAGGTTGTCTAAAAGAATATTGGGAGCAACAACACCATGAAGGGATAAAGTTATTGAGAAATTCAAAGCAGGCTTAGGCTACAAAAAGATTTCCCAAGCCTTGATCATCCCACGGAGCACTGTTCAAGTGATCATTCAGAAATGGAAGGAGTATGGCACAACTGTAAACCTACCAAGACAAGGCCGTCCACCTAAACTCACAGGCTGAACAAGGAGAGCGCTGATCAGAAATGCAGCCAAGAGGCACATGGTGACTCTGGACGAGCTGCAGAGATCTACAGCTCAGATCTCATGTGGGGGACACAGCAAACATGTGGAAGAAGGTGCTCTGGTCAGATGAGACCAAAATGGAACTTTTTGGCCAAAATGCAAAACGTTATGTGTGCCGGAAAACTAACACTGCACATCTCTCTGAACACACCATCCCCACTGTCAAATATGGTGGTGGCAGCATCATGCTCTAGGGGTGCTTCTCTTCAGCAGGGACAGGGAAGCTGGTCAGAGTTGATGGGAAGATGGATGGAGCCAAATACAGGGCAATCTTGGAAGAAAACCTCTTGGAGTCTGCAAAAGACTTGAGACTGGGGCGAAGGTTCACCTTCCAGCACGACCCTAAACATAAAGCCAGGGCAACAATGGAATGGTTTAAAACAAAACATATCCATGTGTTAGAATGGCCCAGTCAAAGTCCAGATCTAAATCCAATCGAGAATCTGTGGCAAGATCTGAAAACTGCTGTTCACAAACGCTGTCCATCTAATCTGACTGAGCTGGAGCTGTTTTGCAAAGAAGAATGGGCAAGGATTTCAGTCTCTAGATGTGCAAAGCTGGTAGAGACATATCCTAAAAGACTGGCAGCTGTAATTGCAGCAAAAGGTGGTTCTACAAAGTATTGATTCAGGGAGCTGAATAATTACGCACACCCCACTTTTCAGTTATTTATTTGTAAAAAATGTTTGGAATCATGTTCATTTTGTTCTACTTCTCACGTGTGCACCACTTTGTATTGGTCTTTCACGTGGAATTCCAATAAAATTGATTCATGTTTGTGGCTGTAATGTGACAAAATGTGGAAAAGTTCAAGGGGGCCGAATACTTTTGCAAGCCACTGTAATAGGGCAGTCTGCTCCTGAACTCTGTTTGTACTCATGATGGAGAATTTGACTGTCCCACTCTGAGCTTGTGTCTCCTAGAGACCTCTTCCTGTTAAAAGGGAGTTCTTTCTCCCCACTACCACCAATAACTTGTTCATAGTGGATGGTCTGATCTTTGGGTTTTGCTCTGCAATATTGTAAGGGTTTTGTATTTATAATATAAAGTGATCATTGGTAATATGTGGTAAAATGAATGCAGACAAAACCTATCTATTTATTTTGTGTCTACAGAGCAGGTCCATGAGGAGCTGAGACATGTATTGGGAAGCCGAAAAGTCAGTGCTGATGATAGGAAAAACCTGCCGTACACTGATGCAGTCATTCACGAGATCCAGAGACTGGCTAATATTCTACCTGTATGTCTTCCTCACCAAACTAGCCGAGATGTCACCTTCCAGGGATACTTTATCAAAAAGGTCAACTGCTCATCCACAAAAAATACCCTTTATTTGACATTTTGATTCACCTCTGATAACTTGAATCGCACATCTATGATAAATGTGCTCTTTTGCCTACAGGGAACTATTGTATTTCCCCTTCTTACCTCTGTCCTGTATGATGAGAGTGAATGGGAGAGCCCACACACTTTTAACCCTTCTCATTTCCTGGATAAGGAAGGTAAATTTGTCAGGAGAGATGCCTTCATGCCCTTTTCTGCAGGTATGAAAACTTTATCAGGCTTTTGTTAAGAAAATTTGCACTTGCACAGACATGACTTGTTTAAATAAGCGTAAACTCTTTGCATTTGCAGGTCACAGGATGTGTCTCGGAGAAGGTCTGGCTAAGATGGAGCTCTTCCTCTTCTTCACCTCCCTCGTTTAGCGCTTTTGCTTCACTCCTACACCTGGAATTACAGAGGATGAACTGGATCTCACACCAGCTGTGGGATTCACCACCCCTCCTTCATCCCATAAGCTGTGTGCTGTCAGTCGCCAGTGAGCGAGGGCTTAAGCAGAGCTTCTCCTAAGACCCGAACTCTTCCATCGCATGCATTTTTAATTTCTCTTTATTATTTGTTCATATTGGAACCTGATGAATGTAAAAACAAAGAATTACCAGATTTTTTTTTTTTTTTACCTAATTTTTGTTTCTAAGAAAAATGAGAGCCACATATGAGGATATTCATTTAAAATTTCAATAGAACAGTAGCAGTATAATGTCCTCGTAAGTGGATATCAGGCGCTTGTAGACCAAAATACTCAATTTTGGTCTAAATAACCCAAAATGTGATGTCCACATATGTGGACGCCAGGTCCTAGGAGGTTAAAGTGAATGCCTGCGGCAAGCAGAAGGATCATTTTTCAGCCACCACCAGCAGATGTCATGATCCATAACACCTGGATTGTTGAGTAAAAGCAGATGTTGTGAGATAAAAGGATATGAATGTATTTCAGTCCTTTACATGAAGGCAAATAAAACTGTATTAACAGGAATGAGTGGTGTTCTTTAGAGATGGGAAAACTGGTCTCATTTTTTGCATGAATTTGCTGTTTTTCTATTAGTTTTTCTATTTTCTATTAATATCTATTAAATCAGAAAGAAACTGTTCCTTAAGAAATACCAAAAATATATAAAATGCCACACCATGTTACAGAAAGACAAAGCATCTTATAATACAAGAACATTTCAAATCAATTCAATTCTGTTTACTGTGAATTCAAAAGTTGTAATATTTAAACCTGATCAGATTTGGTTTAACATAGACTGGCATCTCCATTTAGCTGATTCTTTTGCACATGTAAACAACAATTTTCAGACTGATGTATTATTTTGGTTTGGAAAAGAAGAAACTGAACTTTCCTCTTGTCTGTGTGTAATGAGCACAGTGGCTGGCTAGCTCTCTTTCCTTATTAAACCAGCCAAGATTTGAGCTTCTAGGGAAACTTTATTGAACAGGTTAACTGCTGCAGTTTCACTACTTGACAATAAAATCCCCCCCGCCTGTGCCGTTTGGTTCTTTTGCCATCAGAATTATTATCTAAAGGCAAAGAAAGATGCCCAACAGATTTACTTTACCAAATGGACCATCCCAGCCTTGCCGTATTGGTCTATTTGATTCACCTTTGCTTTTATTGTTTATTTTCTTTTCTTTTCACTTGCTAAATACGGGACAGATTTGACTGGGGAAAAGAAAGGGGAGAAAGAAAGAGGGAAAGAAAAACAGCGGGGAAGAGGGACGGGGATAAAGGGCAAAAAACAAAAA